TAGTTACCAAGATCGTCATGTTGACGATAGTCGTGTCACGAAGTGTTCTGGTGATGCATTGAATTTATTGGAGCCTCTGGAGACACCCTACATTTTGTTTTATAAGAGAGAGGACGAAAAATTCCCTTTTTCATTTTCCCGACTTCGCTCCCACTGAGCTTGTCGAAGGGTATTTGATTTGGAAGATGACTATTCATAACTATCTAATTGGAAATAAGTGTTTTTTCATCGTTACAATATAGATTACATCACTTGACTTTTCATTACTGCACCAAAAGTTCCAAACAGTGCATCACAAATACATAGATTATAGTTTTTATCGATGGAATCTGTATTTTCAAGCTCTGTTCTCAACAATTCCCTGATGGACCTGGGTTCTCAACCTTCACCCATGAACAATTCAACCTTCTTTCGTGAACTTGGGCTCTCAACCCATTTTAAAAACCTTGGGATTTCAACTCTTTGTCCTATTCTTCAATTCTCAACACATTTTGAAGAATCTGAGCTCTTGTCTCTTCCATTTATTTCACTCAATATCTCTGTGTGGTGATACTTCGTTGTGTTTTCTCATTTATCAGGCGTTGAATATATCCTATGACGATATTTGGGTACCACCAAAATCACTATCAACACAAACACTATCATCTCATGTTGACCATCCAGATATCCCTGAAGTAACTCATTTATTTATATTCAAAGAGGTTAAAATCTTATTGCATGAGAACAATAATTCGTATGAAAGTGTCAATACAGTCTAAAAGTGGATCATGAATGAGAGTTTCAATATCTAAACGTGGATACATTAGCACTGTATATAGCAACCACACAAAGCCGAATGAAAGAAAAATATTGGGGAAATTGCCACAACGCCCCATAAGGCAAAAGGCAATGCAACAGTAATGTTAAACACCATAGATTTTGAATCCAAAATAATGAAACTACTATAGGATCCAGCCTACAAGAAAATAGTTAGGGATCCAACTACCTATCTAGAGAAAACCACGAAAAACTGCCATCAATAATTCTCCTATCGACGACGAAGTCAAAAGACATCTGATTCCAAGAGAGAAATCATCCAAGTGCCCTAAACTTCATGGATTCCCCAAAGTCCAGAAGGAAGGGGCACCACTCAGACCAATCGTGAGCTCGGTAGGTTCACCAGTGCATCAATTAGCGAAACACGTTGCTCATGTACTTCAACCACATGCGGGAAAGTTCGATTCATATGTGCGCAATGCCGACCACCTCATAGACATATTGAAAACACCAATCGTTAGTCCGGACGACATCCTTGTCAGCTTTTATGTAACTTCGTTATTTACCCAGGTATCCACCGAAGAGGCACTAGAAATAATCAAAAAGAAATACAAACCGGAAGAGCATATCATCACCTTGGCGGAACATTGCATCAAAAACACTTACTTCATCTATAACGACCAACGATACAGACAAATTGAAGGGGCACCAATAGGCTCGCCACTATCACCCGTTGTTGCCAATCTCTTTATGGAAGAAATCGAAACCGAAGCAATAACAACGTCACACTTGAAACCTAAACTCTAGCTGAGGTATGTCTGTGACATCATCGTGATTTGGTTTCATGGACACCAGGAACTTTCCAGGTTTTTCAATCACTTGAATGATATCCATCCACGCATTGAATGTACGAAAGAAGTTGAAGAAGGCAACCAGCTCGCATTTCACGATGGACTGATTATAAAAAAGCCGGACGGTACATTAGGTCGCACGGTATAGCGAAAGCCAACACACACACGAATAGGTACCTAGACGAAAATTCACACCACCACCCAAAACAAATTCACGCGGTGGCATAAACACTCATTACACGTTCGAGGAGGCTGGCAGACAACGATTACAGACAAGAAGAGTTGAACACCATCGAAACAACTCTACAAATGAATAACTACTCAGAAAGAAGTGTGAAAGCGGCTGCCAAAACCACACGAAAACAACAAAAAACTCGAGATACACCGGTCATAACAACCACACTACCATATATTGCAGGAACAACAGATGAAATCAGCAGAATTCTTCGCCGTCACAACATATCAACTTCGTTCGTACCAGAACGGACAATAAGGTCCATGCTTCGTAATCCTATGTAGAAAAGTTGGATATGATATGTATTTATGGCGAATCAAGAAGGAATTCAAAAGAAGCAGTGAGAATATACGCTAATCGGTATCCTGTCAGAAAATAACCGTCAAACAAAACATTTGCTGGCTTAGCCATATCTTTGGCACGTCATTACAACGTATTTTGTCAAAAAACAAATTCCATCCATACAAAATACATTTGGTTCAAGGACTTCATCCAGGTAATAATCTTCATGTTTCATTTTCAATAACTAAAATATATTCCCATATACAGGACATGCTGACAGAAGATTGAACTTCATTGCATGGTTGTCCACCGGTATTCATGATGATGATCAGTTTCTGAAAAAAATATTATGGAGTGATGAAAGCCGTTTCTATAACAACGGCATAATGAAGAAACATAATTGTCACTATTGGTCTGACGTAAACCCTCATTGGGTGCAAGAAACGAGATTTCAGTCTGTGTGGGGGGTTAATGTTTGGTGCGGAATCATTGATGGTTATTTGATAGGACCTTTTTTTTCGAAGGAATTCTCAATGGAGAGAGGTACTTGGTTATTCTACAACATGTGTTGCCGAATCTCATGGAGAATTTACTAATACAAACTCTACTGAATATGTGGTTTCAACAAGATGGGGCACCTTCACATAATAATAGAATAATTACCCAATATTTGGATGATACTTTCAATGAGAAATGGATTGGAAATAAGGGTCCAATACCATGGCCGGTTCGAAGTCCAGATATTACTCCACTAGATTTCTTTTTGTGGGGATATATTAGAGACTTAGTTTATACGCGACGTCCACAAAATGTAGAGGATTAGAAAACTAGCATCACAAATGTTTGTGCTTCCATAACGCGAGAGACGCTTTTAGCTGTCACGAATCGGGAATTACTTAAAAGATGCAGTATGTATATTCTACGTGAAGGGAGGCAGTACGAACACTTACTAAAATGATTCTTGTTATCACTAATTGATTTCGTTATCATCATGTTAGTCGAGTTATGGTCAAAGTAACATATTTTTTGGTAATTTGAAAAATTCATTCAATTTGTACAGAAATACGAAAAAATTGAACAGACAATGAAATCATAACTGATAGATTAATTTTATTAAACTCGTATGTATGACGCCTATTGCTGGATGTCTTCGCAAATAAGAGGACCCTTCGACATCAAAATCATCTGCCTACACGAAATATGGATATGCTCTCTCATTTTCCAGATATTTGCCCGCGGAGTTTTATATGGGACACCCTGTATATAATATATATTCAATGTTTAAGTTGTTTATAGGTTGATACAACTCAAGCTCTGCTCAGGTAGCTCAGCCTTCAGAATTGTTTATTTATCATTCAATTTTATATCAATACCAAAATATGTAATTAACTAATTAAATTCATCTATCTATCTATCTTTCTCGTCCCGTATCTCCTAAACAAAGTGCCCTATCAAAAATCATCAAAGGACAAAATATCATTAGAAAAGTCCTTTGATTTTTGCCGCATGTTCAATGAACACCCTGTAGAATAACGTGAAATAATCACTAGAAAATAATGATATAGTACACACATCTCTTTGTTCCAGGTAATGTATTTGTTATAGCGGCAATACTACTGGAGAGAAATCTACAAAATGTAGCAAATTATCTGATCGTTTCATTAGCAGTGGCAGATTTATTGGTTGCTTGTTTAGTGATGCCCTTAGGAGCAGTATACGTGGTAAGTAGTATCGATTTTTTTTTGAAAGAATTTATGAATTATGGTGCCATTGCTGGAAACTAAGTGAGTGAATGTAAATTTTACTGGTTCGGACTTTCATGATTTGAAATTCAAATGAATAGCTGAAATTATCAATTATATTGAGCTATAAGACGTGAAATGAAATTACAATAAAATAAAAATGAGCAAAAAATTAAAAACTGAACGAATTAAACTGAAATAAAAAAAATAACAACTCACTCACACGTGACAGTATCTGAATCAAGAATCCAACCATCAACAATCTACCAAAATAGCAATCATCAAGACTTCAGTGGGTCGTGCTTTCCAGCTCTGTAATACGAATGAAGGTCTTGGAAAGGAACTAGGCATCATTAAAAAAGATCTTCAACGGAATGGTTACTCCAAGGTGATGGTGAAATAGATTTTGGCTAAAAAGCAGCAAAAGCCTCACGAGAAAAGAAGCCGTCACAACCAGTTCTTGTACTTCCCTAGATCAGAGGATTATTGGAAATAATAAAAAGGATTGGTCCAAGTACAACATCAGAACCTGCTTTAGATCCGGAAACACTATCCGTAGCAGCCTCACGAAAATCAGGCCACCAAACGCGGACTGAGATTCCAAGAATTGTATTTACCGGATACCCTGTGAGTGCGGAAAATCCTATATCGGTAAAAGTGAGAGGCCTTCGAAAGTCATTATTGCTGACCACAAGAAAACTACACAGCGTGGAAAAACCAGCAAATCGAGAATAGCAGAGCATAACACTAAGTGACCTACGCTGAAATCATCCACAGAGGGGAACACTGGTTCACGAGGAAATTCAAAGAAGCCGCATATATGTTGTCCAAAAACGCATTCAGCCAAGCTAGCGTAGAGATATGCAACATATGGACACCTTCAATCAAGCAGAACACGACCAACTCCCATCAAACGGTCAGCTTCAGCTAAATACTGGTGAAGCGGAGAGTTAGAAGCGGGGATAGGAGAAAGCACTCGAATGACCTATAAATAGTCACATCTTGGAGTCCAGTTATCACCCGAAGACGATTGTGGATACTAAAAATCGAAACGTCGTGAATTAATTCGTTTTGGGATCTTTTTCAATTATTTGTTTGGTTTTCCAATTTCATTTCCATCTATTCAGTTCTCAATTCCTTTCCTCATTTTCATCTCATGGAAATAATTCAAAATTTCAAATTTTCAGTTCAATATTACTTTATCTTTCAGAAATTTTGAATCATATTAGAGTCATTACAGACAATGAAAATCCGAACTAGTTAAATTCACCATGAAACATTATTAACGACTTTCAAACAATTGAGTGAATGTTACTTGTGTGAGAATTCCTTCGGAAACTGAAGTGCATCTTAGAACTTTCTGGTGAGAGAAGAAGGTGTCAAGATACAACAATCCATTTTCTCAAGAGAAATGATACCGGATACATTTCTAATGAAACGTATCAGGTATCATATAAGTTTTCCTAGTGGGATGGTCCAGTTGAAATCGGTTTGCGTCAAGAATCAGTTTCAAGTCTGTTTTTGGTAATGGCTAAATTTTCACATCAGGAAAATACATTGTTTTTTTTGTAGAAGTCCA